GTGTGTGTGTGTGTGTGTGTTGGATGCCTGGGTCACTCCCTGCCGTTTGATGCCTGGTTGAGGAATGTAGATCCCATGCTCATAATATCAGGCACATGATGGCAGCTGCTGTAGACTAAACGCACACACAGAGCTCCATAACTGGCACTCATAAACCATGATGTGACTTGATTTAATTTTATGGACTTGAAAGCAGTCTTTGTATGTGCGTGTGTCTGATTGATGGCGTCTCATCCCAGGACAGGAGCGGTACGGGAACATGACTCGTGTCTATTACCGGGAGGCGGTGGGAGCACTGGTGGTGTTTGACGTGACGAGGGCCTCCACGTTCGACGCCGTGCTGAAGTGGAAGGATGACCTGGACTCCAAGGTTTTCTGTCTTCACCGTCATTCTCTCTGTCTTTTTTTTTTTTTTACTCACATGTGACTGATCGCATGGTGGTTAGCACTGTTGCCTGAGTTCAATTCCACCATCGGATCGGGGTCTTTTTGTGTGGAGTTTGCATGTTCTCCCCGTATTTGCGTGGGTTCTCTCTGGGTACTCCGGCTTCCGCCCACAGTCCAAAGACATGCACTTTGTGTGGATAGGTTAATTGAAAAATCTAAATTGCCCATAGGTGTGAATGCGGGGGTGAATGTGAATGGTTGTTTGTCTCTGTGTGTTAGCCCTGCGACAGACTGGCGACCTGTCCAGGGTGTACCTCGCCTCTCGCCCTATGACAGCTGGGATAGGCTCTAGCACCCCCGTGACCCTGAAAAGGATAAGCGGAAGCGAATGGATGGATGGATGGTTGGTGACTGATCGCAACTAAAGAGAGAGACAGAGTTTTTAGCCCCTCCATTCATCTGTTTCCTTAAATGTTTATGCAGTCGGGGTCACGGAGGGGCTGGAGCCTATCCCAGCTGTCACTGGATGAAGGGCAGAGTGCACCCTGCACAGCTTGCCAGTCTATCACAGCACCCCACTGACTCAAAACCTCTGTTATTTTCTTTGCAGTATTTCAGTGTTTTTTTCTCCTTCTCACAGGGATCCAGCAGCGTTTCCCATAAAAGGCAAAAACCTCAGGTTGCTACATTTACCCACATGTTTTCTCCTTTTGCCCCTTTGCATCACTTCTGGTGTTGTTTTTGGGATCTTGCATTGGGAGCTATAGTTGCATTAGTGCAGTGAAAGTTGGAATTAAAGCCCAACAGATCACAATCGTGCTCTTGGTTGATATTCAAGTTGAAGGGTCCTTATTTTTATACAACACAGGAGCGAACAAAGCAGAGCAGAGGCGACTCAGCAGATGATCTGAAAGAGGATTTTGGGCAAATTTAAATCAGGTTTTTGCTTCTTTTTTTTTTAATGGGAGTAGTCACACACGTTTATGATCTCCTTTTGTATATGTGGAAAATTATCAGTCATTGTTCAAATGTAGATTAATGTCACGGGCTTTTGAAAAACCTTGCACTTTGATGTGCATGAAATGGCAGAAAATGAAGAAGCAGAACTTGAAAGGGAAATAAAATTTACAACTTATTTTTTGCAGACTGTTGCATGAAAGGGGGAGCATCTTTGGACAGAGACATCATAAAAGATGTGAGAGGATTTCTGAGGGTGAACACGCACCTCTGAAAAAGCTTCCTGACACTTTAAAGCAGCCAAAAACCACTCCATGATGAGAACAAGCCAAAATTAGCACTCTAATCTCTTCAGCTCGTATAGTTGTCAGTAATACTTTGTTATTGGTTTGCTTTTGTGATAAAATGTCTTTACAGAGAGACTACAGGGCACACTGATATTTTTCTGTTTGTGTGCTTTAAGGTAAGACAGGGTCATTTAACAATTTATTTAAAAAATAATGTGATCCTGCTCAACTTTCTTCTGTCCAAAGGTGACACTGAACCATGGGAGGCCAGTTCCAGCTGTACTCTTGGCCAACAAGTCAGACCAGCTGGTTTCCCAGCAGCCCAAACTCGACGTCTTTTGTAGGGAGAACGGCTTCGTCGGATGGTTTGAGACTTCTGCAAAGGTGTGAGAGAGGAGACCCACGTGGCGTTTGATGCAATCTCTGCAACAAGCTGATTTTCTTAGACAGATCGTTGAGTATACCAAAGATTTCTGTGCAAATTGTTAAAGGTTAGAGGTCTTTCCTTGACTAGCCAAATGATAACTCTGTGCCATACAAGCAAGGCCCAAAATCGGGTTATATTTGCATATTTGGGGGGGAAACTGGAGCAGTGTTATTTCAACAGAAGCTTCCTGTAAAAACAAACGATTCAAAATATGTTTCACTCAAAGTCAGACAAGTTTATTTGCCGTCCTCTTGGGAGGCAAACAGGAATTCCAGCACTCTGGTGTGAACTAGACTCTTCTTTTTCTTCTCATTTAATGCCTTTCCAATGAGTTACACACAAGAGTGTGAGGTAAAGGCGCGGTGTAGTTACTGTACACAAAGGTTCATGTACATAAAGAGTGACTGACATGTGGGCAGTTTGAAAGAGAGCTGTAGATGTGTGACAAATGAAAGGAAAAGCCTGGACCGTTAAAGCCCTCAGTGAGGGGCTCTGATGCAAAGTTATGCTGTGGGAGGCGTTTGGGTCCACAAATCAACACAACGCTGTCCTGAGTGATTGCCTTCATCCTACAATGAAACATGCTGCTCACACTTAGAAATCAAATAATATGACATCAGTCCCCTGCCAAGCATGCATTCCTATTCCCAAAGAGTCTAGCTCTGCTCTAAATTAATGCGGTAATAGTAATTTTTTTTCTTGGCTAAATCACTATGGTAACCTATGGTGAATGCTTAACCTGGCCAGGAGCAATTTGTGTGCAGCGTTTCAGTTTAAAATCAGCTGAAAGCATCACATTTTCACTGATTCCAGTGCGCTTTAGGCGTTGTACAGATTCTGGGCTGAAGGAAAAAGGTTTATAAGTTGTACCTTACACCACTAAATGAGGCCCAGCTTTAAAGTCGAGTCGCATTCTCACAGGATTTTGCTGGCATTCGGTCGGTGATGCAGAAAATGAATGTTTACGCTCGGGCGTAGATGTGCCGCTATGTCTGATTTAAACTGCTGCGATGGCACCTACTAGAACCCAAAATAGTAAACATTTATATTTGTTGGCTATTTATTTCTGAGAATACCTGTTAAACCAATACAATTAATTGACTGCATCACTCTGAATAACCGCTGGTGTTTCAGAGCTTTAATGTGCTGCCATCACATTAGAAGTGAACGGCACCACAGTGCGGTAAAATAAATATAATAGAGTGAGATATTTTACCCCTTTGTGCGCTTTTGATGCTGGTAAACTCACAACATAAAGATAGCCTTATTTGCAGCAATGTTGCATTTTATTGCTATATTCTCTATAATTCTTAGAGATCACCTGTTCCTCTGATAATGTCTCTGATTGGAGGAGGAAGTGCTGAATTGCTCCACTGGAATAGGCTATCTTACAGTATGTGAGTGTGCACAGAGGCTGAAGCAGAAAAACTGGTTTAACAGAGAAGGCGGGTAACCACTGCCTTAATACTTGTTATCTCTGACTGGGAAAAGCCTGGATATGTTGAACTTTGTTCACCGTAAACCTCTCAAAAAAATCTTTGGAGAACAACAAAGTCAGATTGCTAAGAGAAGTAGCGATCCAGCCGTCATCAATCCAGCTGTCATCAATCCAGCTGCCTGCTGTAAGGTTGACCTTGATGTGTCAGACGGCCGCCCCTCCCTGAGCCTGGTTCTGCTGGAGGTTTCTTCCTGTTAAAGGGAGTTTTTTCTTCCCACTGTCGCCAAAGTGCTTGCATCTGGTTGTTGGGGTTTTCTCTATATTATTGTAGGGTCTTGACCTTACAATACAAAACACCTGCAAGCAACTGTTGTTGTGATTTAGTGCTATGTAAATAAAACTGAATTGAATGTGTTGTCACTATATGAAAAGTAAGGAAAGTTATAGCTTCTATAGGACTCATTCTGAGTTTAATATGAATTAATGGCAATCAATTCAGCTTCTCTTGAGATATTAAAATCTGTGTGTGTCCGCTGCACTGGTGTGGCTGTAAAGATTTCATCACAGCTGTCTTACGTTTTCTTTTTTTTTCTCACTTAGGAAAACACAAACATTGAGGAGGCAGCCCGCTGCTTGGTAGAGCACATTCTGAGAAACGAGGAGAGTCTAGTGACTGAGCGAGAACCTGGTTCGCTCATCCTGTCTGGATGCGCTACGACATCACAGCAGCATCTTGGCTGCTCCTCGTGTTCAAAATGGTAATGTCTGACATCAACAGGTGACCAAGACGGGAAGGCCACGAGAAATGTTTGACTCAGGGACCGCTTTGAGAAAAATTCTGGCTCAGAGTGATAGATTTGATTTTAAAAACATCTTAAAAGTGTTTAAAGTCTTTGAAGTTCTGTGGGTATCAAAATGTGATTTTTATTACTTTATTTCTTTATCCGTTTTTTTTTTTTTGTCCCTCCACACAAACTTTAACAATCTTAGAAATCAAAACACTAAAAAAAAGAAAAGAAAGTTGGTACATGCAGTTTTTATTATTAGCACTTTCTTGCTTCTTTAACTTGCTTTGAATCGACAGTGTGACACTGATATTTGAACTGACGGCTCTCTGTGGCACTTTCTTTCTGACACTGATGTAACATGAAAAATAATTCCAAACTTCGATTTTTTTTGCCTGCAGTGTGAACACAGACACGAAAACATGACTCTTCCTTGCGTTATTTGCACTTTTCCTCGGCCTACGTTTCTATCTGTGTTTAACCGCTCACTAAAAATGTCAACGTCATGAATACTGCATTGTGAGCTTGAGATACATAAAAGCAGCTGCTCAGCTTTGGATAACATATAGACTGGGAATTGGGAAAACAGCGTGACTCAGGGAGGGGCTTCATACTGTTCAACCCTGCTGCTTGAAGCACTGACCTCAACTCAGCTGGGACGAGAAGTCATATACAGTCTCTTTGTGTGTGGCTCGGTAGCATTAGCAGTTTATAGCAAACACACTGTGTTGGCTATGTTTTTTTAATAGGATTTTCAAGGACCTACATCACTCTCTTTTGTATATGGATTTGAGTGAACATTTAATATTGGGTGGGCCACATGTGAGCGCCACACTCTTGGGTTCAGAAATAACTGCTGTATGGGAATGAAATCTCTTTGCAACAGCTATCGCCACCTCGTGGCTTCAGATAGAAGGCAGGTTTAAGATACTTTCCTACTGGCTTAATTTTTCCAACTCCAAAATTAGCTCAATGTTTTATATTGCCTATGGGCGCGCTTGGTCTAATATCCACTGCCAAGCCAATGGATGTGGTGCATCAACAGTGCCTCTATGATAAGGCCCAGATATTTGAGGAGATAAGCCCAGAGCAGAGGTGGGCAATTAATTTTCCCACAGGAATCACATGAGAAGCTGGAACTGCTGTGGAGGGCTACACCAATCAGCTTGTTGAGATATGAAATTAATACTGAGCAGAAATCAGCTCATCTTATTGGTGTGGGTGCAGTTTATCATGTGGCCCCTGTGGGAAAATTAATTGCCCACTGGTGGCCTAGAGGAATAATAATAATAATAACAATCATAACAAAGAATTTAGCCAACAATAACACTAAGTGTGATGTTTTTTGCTTTGCACCAATCTCGTTGAATATATTTTCCTTCTACACTGCATCGTGAGCTGATGAAGTGGAAAATCTGTTCTGGCACAGTGCTGAGGAAACTAAACAAGAATCCTTTGCAGTCAGGAACAAACAGAGAAGTATCGGGGACCCTGGAGGGGAGACAGTTTAGCAGATATGGCCACTAAAAAGACCATTCAATTAGCTGATAAGATACTAAAGACTGTTTCTGAATTCATTAATTAGAAACAGCTGTAAGAATAAAACAATTAAGACATCTGTGGGTCCTCCAGTGCGCTGCCTCTTCCTGATATACTGATGGATATTCAGTCGGCTGCTAATTTACATGTGTTGTCTGTATTTTAAATGTGGTTTCAGTGAAGTATTTCACTCTTAACTTTCACCACAAACTCTTGGCTCTGTTTTTCAAATGGGACATTTTCTTCAGCTTTAAAATCAACTTCTTGTCAGTCCAGTAAAAAAATGTGGTCGGTGCTACTCTTCTTCTGCACAGCCGCTTTTGTTGAGCTTGTCTTGTGTGTTATTTGAAGGTCCATGTTTTCAAATTAGGCATCTGTTTTATGTTTTTCTTCACTGCCTTTGATGTGCAATAGCACGCCCTTAAGAATAAAGGCATTTGTCTGCACTCTCTGTGGACCAGACTATGTGTATATAGACATGTACTTGACATACTTCTGCATATGTTTTAAATGATTATCATTCAGGATTTTTGCCTCAACTACATGTCACTTAAATCAACACTCCTTCAAATGAACAATACTACTGAAAGAATTATCCAATTAATCTGTAGCTATTCGTATAATGCATTTAGATTTACTTTAAAGCAAAGTTTCTCTTCCTACAGCTGCACGCTTCTGAGGATTTACAGTTGTTCTCTTGATGTCATTCTGAAGTGAATATCTTTAGGTTCTAGTTTGTTGGCAGGGAAAATTTGAGGTTGTTACTTTGCATTTTAAGGAAATGTTGATCAATATGTTTCAGTATTTTAGGCATTTTTTTATACCAAGGTAAATAACTGAGCAGCAGATTAACTTTAAGATTGTCTATTTGTTGTACAGCTGTAGTCAAACGTTTACATTCAGCAATCATGGGCATGAATGTCATGGTAATTTGGGACTTTTAATGATTTCTTTGACCTGTTCTGTCCGTGGTACAATGATTATGCAAGCATCCTCTACCAGACACTTTTGGTAGCCGTCAACGAGCTTCTGGCATAATCCCGGCGAGATATTTGACCACTCTTCTTGACAGAATTTGTAGACCTCATTTAAATTGCTTGTTTTCCTGGCACAGGACTAGTCCATAGATTTTCTATTGGTGTGAGGTCGGGGCTTTGGGAAAGTCATTCAAGAAGGGATCATTGTCCTCAATTTGAAGCTGATCATTGTGATCATGTTGGAAAATTCGGAGGTAACTCCCCTTCTTCATTAAACCATCCACTTTGCGCAGTGTACCAGTACCACTGGCAGCTAAACAGCCCCAGAGAATGATGCTACCACCACCGTGCTTGACAGCTGGTGCATTGTTCTTAGGTTTGAAAGCCTCACCTCCTTTACTCCTCCAAATATACCTCTTTGTCATTGTGACCAAATAGCTCAACCTTGGTCTCGTCTGACCATCAAACTTTTTTCCAGAGGACGTTTGATTTGTCCATGTGAGCAGCTGAAAATTCAAATAGAGCTTGAAGGTGTAATTTTGGAGCAGGCACTCGCCTTGCTCGGCGCCTTCTCAGTCCAGTGATGTAAAACACACTTCACTGTGGACTGCGGCACTGCTGTTCCACAAGTTTCCAGCTCACAGTAAGCTTGCTAGTTCCTGGTTGAGGGTGACAGTTTGTGTCTTCTTCCAGATCCTGGCAAAGTGGAGATGGTGACACATAAAAACAACTTTTACTTATGTACAGTAGTTTGAATCAATGATTTTTGAATCCATTTATTACTTTATTTCTTTATCCATTTTTTTTGTCCCTCCACACAAACTTTAACAATCTTAGAAATCAAAACACTAAAAAAAAGAAAAAGAAGAAGAAGCAGGAAACACCCAGTGGGGGCTCAGAAGCAGGTTTCTCTGAGCATTTACGATGAAGGAGCCCTTTTGTGACTCTAGAGCAGGGGTGGGCAATTCCAGGCCTCGAGGGCCGGTGTCCTGCAGGTTTTAGATGTGTCCTTGATCCAAGACAGCTGATTTAAATGGCTAAATTACCTCCTCAACATGTCTTGAAGTTCTCCAGAAGCCTGTTAATGAACTAATCATTTGATTCAGGTGTGTTGACCCTGGGTGAGATCTAAAACCTGCAGGACACCGGCCCTCGAGGCCTGGAGTTTGACACCCCTGCTCTAAAGGATGTTGCACATACAGTTTACACCAAAATAAAGAGTGCTGAAATTAAAATAAATTGACAAAACAGGGACAGAAGTTCCTGCAGGGTTTAAATTTTAGCAGTGTGAAAGTGTGTGATTGTGGTCCAGAGAATATCTTCTAAAGCTTTCTGGATAACACAAGGAAATATCTTTTAAGCTATTTAAGTAATACCCTCCTGTGAGTTATTTTACCATTAGGAGAACACCGTTTCATTCCAGGAACTACATTTCACTGTAACGGTGAAAAGATATTAAAGCAAAAACGATTACTTAAAGCTCCCTTATAGTATTAAGTTAAAAACTGGAGGTGGAATATTGGTGGGGAATTATTTACAATAAACGTCACCATCTGGTTTTCCTGGGATTTAAAAGCACAAACTAAAACACACGGGGTCAGAGGGACCTTTTCATAGGAAGCGTTACAGGAATAAAACATCTTTTTGTGTGTTGTTATTATTAGTGGTTTTTCCTCACTATGTGTCTACATTTCATTGGACAGCAGATAACCAGGGAGAGTTTGCACATCACACTCTTGTGCTGTCCGTATGCACTAAGGTGATAAACCAGCTGATGCTTTTCTCTCCTTGAAAAGCCTTCTGCTTTAAGATGCCCTCCCCGGACCCGAGAAGTGGTCCAATCGCCCTCGTTTCTCAGTCACCTGATTCATGTGCTGCCATTTTACACACAAGTTTGACTGACAAAAAAAAAAAAGGAAAAAAAAAGAAAAAAAAATCAGAATTGGCCTATCGGAAACCTCAGCAGAGAAATACACCCTTTTGTAAAGAAGATTAAAAAGACTGGGGATAAAAATCACAGCGGCTGAGGTTTGATGCAGCCAGCGCGGGGTGCTGTGTGCGGATCAGAGAGGCGCTTGCAGTCGGATCTGTGCACACGTTCAGAGGAGATACCGGGTGAAGAAGAAGGAAAAGGGGAGGGAAAGGACAATGCTACAGCCCGTGTCTTTGAAAAATTAGTCTTCAGTCATGGTGATGCCGCATAGATTTCATAATCATCGCCGGCCGTCTTTCTATCACTGACATTGCTTTTTTGTGATTCAGCGCTCTGGCACGGACTCTCTGCGCCGGCATTTCACCCTCAGCAGCGTCTATTTCAGGGATACTGTAGATTATATTAATACACTGACCAGCTTTGGATGCAGGCCGCTCTGACAGGCTACACCGATTTTCTTCTTTTTTACAAGCAGGTTGATTATTTCTGCAGCTGGGCCACCCTGTTGCCCTGCGCTGGATTTTTGGATGCTTCTCTGGATGTGTGACCGTTTAACGCTTTATTTGGCCGCCGCATGAATTCTCCCACCGGATCCTCGTCCGTGTACGCTGCTGTCCTCCACCACCACCACCTCCTCCTCTTCTCCCTCCTCTGGCCGATTCTCACAGAGGGCACTACCCTCCTCCTCCACCTCCTCTTCCCTGCCGCTAAAGACATTTTGATCGTCCTCCCCGGTTCCCCCCACCCGGACTCGACCATCACTCCTCCGCCTGCCTCCTCCTCCTCCACCACCACCGCCTCCTCCTCCTCCGTAACATGTCGGGACAGTCTTTGACCGACCGGATCGCCGCCGCACAGCACAGCATGACCGGGTCTGCCATCAGCAAAGCCGTCTGCAAGGCCACGACGCACGAAGTCAGCGGACCCAAGAAGAAACACCTTGACTGTAGGTTAAGCATACCATCACTGCTTACTGTATAGATAGGCAGCCTGCATGCATGCATCAAGCGACCAGCATCTTTTTCCTCACAAAGGGTAGCTTGTATAAACAGCATTACGCTCCCCCCTCCCACCACCTCTCTCTCTCATCCGGCCCGCTTATGTTCACAGCTTCTTTAATTAGGCACCGTTACATTCCATTAGATTAAAACGTGATTTACGCAGCAGCCGAGCGCACACAGGCTCCACCACTGACCATCAGAGCAAGCGGAGATCTTCTTCGTCTCTTTTTTTAATATAAGGCGAGAGGGGGGCAAGCCAGGCATTATCTGTGCATGTCATTCAGGGGAAATAGGCCACTCTGGTATAAGCTAATCATATTGCAACCAGTGTAGGCCTATCCATTATTAATGCCACTATCAGGAGCAGCAGCAGCAGCACTATGTCCCTTGGAGACTCTTCAGTACAGAATGTGCGTTATTGTGCAACATTTTTCTGCCATGCATTCTCGCTGATAAACGCGCTGCTGGTCAGTCCTAAAGGTGCTGAGGACCCTGTAAAGGTTTTAGGAAGAGCAGTGCACTTTTTCCACTCCCCAGATAATTGTCTATGCAATCAGAAGCAATGATGCACACCAGTGATAAAGAGGATTTCTCACATGTGGATTGCATCAGTGATTATTAGGTGGCTGTTAGGTTAGGTGGCTTTTCTGCCTCACTATAATTACTTGACATGATCAATAGAGAGCATGGGTGATCAATGGCACTGCCAGTCACACTCACATGCAGGCAGACAGACAGCAAGACAGCAAATCTGGAGGAAATGTGGATAAATCAGTCAGAGAGAGATCATGAGGCAAGTGGCCAAACAGCCAGTCATCCAGCTACACACCCACCCACCCAGTCAGTCGGTCACCCGGCAAGTTTGGCAGTGGATTGGTCAGTCATGTCCACAGCAGAGGGTACCACTGTGGATTTTGGGCTCCCTTACAAGATATGCCACCAGGCGTTTCAGTGTAATATATCTAAAGAGGGCTGCCTCACTAAAAAAAAAGAAAAGAAAAAGAAGAAGCAGGAAACACCCAGTGGGGGCTCAGAAGCAGGTTTCTCTGAGCATTTACGATGAAGGAGCCCTTTTGTGACTCTAGAGCAGGGGTGGGCAATTCCAGGCCTTGAGGGCCGGTGTCCTGCAGGTTTTAGATCTCACCTTGGGTCAGCACACCTGAATCACATGATTAGTTCATTACCAGGCCTCTGGAGAACTTCAGGACATGTTGAGGAGCTAATTTAGCCATTTAGATCAGCTGTGTTGGTTCAAGGACACATCTAAAACCTGCAGGGACACCGGCCCTCGAGGCCTGGAGTTGCCCACCCCTGCTCTAGAGTAATTCCTGTTGCTTTGATTTCATATTAATCTTACCTCAATGGTGGCAGGCGCTCAGTGTTAATTATTAAGGTTTTTTAGTGGTAGTGTTGCTGTTTCCCTGTTGTGAGGCTGATGTTTTACGCTATACACAGTTTCACACATCCCTGGAAAAATAAGTAGAAGAGAATCAAACCTACTGATGGCTCCACGTTCAGTATTACCGCAAGTGCATCAACAGACTGGCACCGGTGCTGGTTTGTTATTGTGCTCGCCAGTTTTATGAGAACATTGCACCCCTGCAGATATTAAACGGCAGAAGGTCATCCACCTTCAGCGCCCGCCACGAGTGGGTGTATCTCAGAAACTAGTAAATGTCACTTAACTCAAGGGTGAGAGCAGAAAATCTTAAAATAGAACCGGAGCATTTACGTGACAAATGTCCATCTGTCAAGTGGATTATAAAACCGTTTTTGTCACGACTCACAAGGGCAGAGAAGTTTCTCTCAGAGTCGGTCAGTTTATTCTGGTGAAGGTGGTTTATTCTCTTTTTCCACATTGATACGACTCCTTTGAAGATGTGATTCACTCCCATGGAAGTGTGAATCACATTTTTTAGTTAAATAAGCAATTTTGTACTGAAGCCATTCAGATGCAGCTGTTCTGATAGATGCCACAATAAAATACTTTCTATTTCCAGCTAGAGAGCCTCTCTTCTAAGCCAACATCCAGCACTCTCTCTCATTCGCATTAGGGCACACTTTTAAGGTTAAGGAGGCGATCCAGGAAGGAAGTGTGTTTGTCATCAGGCGGTCAGTGGGCCTGAGCCTTAATTTGGCTGAGAGGACCTTGGTGGGGAAGTGAATAAAGAATGCAAAGAAAAGGCACTGAACACAACTGCTCTCAAGGAGCTTCTGATGAGTCAGCTGTACAGGACTGTGTGCAATCACAGGTCTCTTTGTTCAACCATCAATGCATCTGAGACTCTTTTCTAACCGAACCTGCGTGGTAAACTCAGGTTATGAGAAAACGGCGGACATTTGGTTTGTATTTTCAGATAATGCAAAGCTTATTATAAAAGCTCTCTGCATGGAGGACACGAGCGAGTGGAGCAAACTCGGTGTGGCTAAAAGAATACAGAGCTCCCGGGAAGAAACTGTTCAGATTGGAAAGAAAGAATCTGTTAAAATAATCTGAGGTTAGTTTGATAAGCAGAGTTAAAATACACTCTAGTTGTTATTGATCCACCACAGCAGGCACAGCATAGAGTAAATGCTACACACAATAAATCTATTCAGAGTGACCAAACCCAGGCCTCCTTTTTTCCCCCCCCTCTTACAGGGTCATGACCTTGCCGCTGTGGTAGGTGACTTCAGTGGCAAATGTTCATCTTTGATGACCCACAGCAAATAATGAGCATGACACACACACAAACACAGGGTAATGACATAGTAGAAGAGTAATCAGGCTAAAAATTACCTTCTGCCCCCGGAGCACAGTCAGCAGTGGTATTCACTGTATGATTTCTTTGCTTGTGCGTCACTGCTGAAATGCCGTAGCGTCACGTTGTAGATTTATTCAAAAAGAAGCTAATTGTGTCGAGAATAATTATCTGCCTTTTTTGCTCCGATGTTCTTCACTTTTGGCCTCTCGGCTGGATTTAGTGAAAGGCAGCAGCGAGAAAGAGGAAGAAGTGACGACAGATGAGCAAAAATGCAACGGATGACGGGGCTCAGCCGCACAGGCGGTCAAACAGAAGAGTAATATACATGAATCCCCCCCTCCCTGCCACGCACACACATGCTTACTCTGACATCTTGTAGTTCAATTACACGCTCTGAATGATATTCACTTTTTTCTTTTCTTTTTTTTTTGACGCCAAGGCCTTAAAACACATGGGAGGGGAAAAAAAGTTTTTATTGCATTTTAAAGTAAATCTCTTTATGAGCTCAAATCCCTTCAGTCATGCATACTTTAAAACTCTGCTCTTACATTTGATCCTAACCAGTATTACAGGTGTCTTAAATTTAGCGCCATGTTGTCGTGTAATCGTGCAAACCTTTGCACGCTTGCAGCATAAATCTCGCTTCTTTTTGTGTTCTTTATCTGGATTTATTTCCTGTGTGGATTTCGGCTTATCAATAATCCCAGCTGGCAATTGTGCAATCAATACTTCATCATCATCATTGTCATCATCATCACATCCCTCTGGCTATTTGTACAGCCACACATCGATGGTTAAATCCCAGCTGATGAATTGTCACCCAAAGGAACAAACAGATTGGGACATGGAAATGTAGTAATTACCCTACTAAAAGTTAAATATCTCTAAACCTCCAGTGAATTAGTTACTGGCTACTCACAGGCAGTGTAAAACTGAACACTTTTTGACCTTGTCTGCTGTTTAGTTACAGCTTGATATAGATGTTTTTTTTTTTTTTTTATATTTAGTTGTTTCTGGGATCATCCTTCAAGCTCTGCTTTTGAGCTCAGCTACCTCTAAATATGAGGCAAATATGTGGTTATTTTTCCACTCTGTTGCCTCATCTTAAATCCTTTTTATTCAAGTGTCACATAAAACTACTAGAAGCTCTAGTCCTTGCAGTTTAAAAGCCCATGAACATAAAAGCAAACATACAGGGTTTCAGAGAAATTGTCCTAATTTAGACATGGAATGCAAGAGGCGCACATTAAGGATTTTAAAGGAGGAATTGAGGATTTTATTGTTGCGTATATATACATATATCTATTCAATATGCGTTAGTTTGGGAATTGTTTCTTGTGCCAATTTTACTGCTTCCTGTGCATGTTACATTTTCTGCTTTCAGATGTAGGGAGTGGACAGACCTTTGGCTTATATTTGGCCCTAAAGCAGGAGACCAAATGTCATGACATTAATGCAGCAGAGTTGAGAGTCTGACAGTCTTGGCTGCGTTCGTAATTCATTGTAGGCCAAGCTGGATGAGGTGACGACCTATAATCAATACTTTTACACTTATTATTGGCTGTGCTGTTCCTGCTGAGGCTTTTGCAGTCGAAACGAAAATAAAATAAGACCAAGCTGAGTTGGATCGAAGCATCAGCTGCCGCTGGTCGCTGTTGCTTAGGGTGTGTTTCGACTTGCATTCAATGGTTAATCAGGGTGCGAACCGGGACTCTTTGGTATCCAGCGTTTCAGTGGCTGCAGAAAACCTCATCAAGCTTTCAAAACAAAACACTGATAACCTCTGATCCTGCGAAAAAAAAGAAGCAGATCTCAGAAACCAAACAGCTTTCTCAGTATCTCAGCACACAGATGCTCTCCCCGTCTGCCTGTGACTACAGTGGTTTTCTCTGATTGCACAAGGGACTCTTTAATTTAGTCCCTTTCATTATAATTGTGCGACACACTTTTGTTGCTGGTGTCTTGTTACCAAATTCAAGTGAAACCGCGGATCGTCCTGATTTCACATTTCTCATCTCATCTGGTAACATTTTAGATTCATTTCTTCTGTCTGTTTATCACTTTTGGTCCCAGTGTGTGTTTTACCAGGATTAGCTGAGACCCTGTTACCAGCTGGCCTTTAAGCAGCCTGCACAATCTCACTTTTAACAGCATCACTGAGAATTTGATGCAGATTGTTTATCCAGGAAAAAAATCTCCAGCTTGCTGATAAATGTCACTGAGCAAATAGCATGAGCTATATATTATGAATGCACTGTGTATAGTGTGTTTATAAAAAAAAAAAAAAAGGTTTTTTACTGTAGAAATGCCCCAAGTCAAGATAAGAAAATCTGTCCCTGAAGATTTTAACAACCTTTCGTTTACAGTAATTGAACATTTCAGAATCACATAAGTGGATCTGTAGGCTATGCAGTCTGTAATGCACTGTGTAAAACACGGGGCATGTTTGCACCATTTTACTAGACGCCTGCAAGTCTTTGTGCTTCAACAGATGCCAAACATACTTTGCATTTTGCTTCTGAGCCCAGTTCCTTAAAGAATGTAGGGCAACATTCCTGCAACTCATCCCAGCAACACTTCTTATCTCTATTTAATTATTTTTGTTGTATCTACAAGACTGAGCACAAACAAAAGCCCCACTCCTCTGTTTCCCTGCCAGTTCTCAGATGTGAACACACACATGCGAGCACACACTCGGCCTGTCGTTTGCCAGACCTTTGAGTCTGACATACAGCACCGAGCTGTTTTTCCCTTTTTTAAAACGTGTTCCACATTTGCTTTGAATGGCCAATTTACATTCTAGATGCGACTCTCGGATGTTAACTGTTGGGAGGGTGGGGGTCATCTGTTTTAGTCCGTCATCGCTAACAAAGATGCTCGGGAAGAAAACTCACAGTCAATATTCATCATCACTCCATTCATCTGACAGTTTTTTTTTAGTTTTTTTTTCCTAAATAAAATATGTGTCGCTTAAGTTCATTACGCGGGAATGGAATCGACCTTGCAATGTACCTTTCCATCTTCTGAGTTGATATTTTATTGATATTTTTGTAGAGGAGGCTGGCAGCGTTGCTGAATTACAGTCTCAGATGTGCATTTGGAGATACATCCATCTATAGAGACTATATCATTCATCGATATCATTAATCAATGATTTGTTCATTGAGGCGAGATAAATGCACCGGTCAATATGACTTCAGTCAGTGTGATTGTTCACTCCATCAGCAGCTGTTGCTTTTATTCACAATGACTTACAGTAAGTGAACAGGCGGGGTTGGAGTTTATTTGTGTGTTCCTTCACCTTGCTTTCACACTTTTCTCCAGATTGTTTCATGGGTCATCTATTTTTTTTGTCTCCTCCAGACCTGATCCACTGCACCAATGAGCTGAACGTCAGCATCCCCCACCTGGCAGACACACTGCTGGAGCGCACAACTAGCAACAGCTGGATTGTGGTTTTTAAAGCGCTCATCACCACACACCACCTCATGATGTACGGCAATGAGGTGAGTCAACCTGCATCGACGTATGCATGCCCGGGGAAATTCGGAGGATGTTTGTCCCCTCTGATCTTGTGACAACAGGAAAATTATTTGTCATCCTGACAAAGCGCTTGTTTTAAAGAGATCTTAAATGCACTATGGTGCTTCTAAAATGATCCGTCTCACTGTTTTTTTGAGGTCAACATTTCCTGAGTGGTGGGACGTGACTTGAAAGGCCAAAACGACTCTGCCGAAGCTCAAATAGAAATGTAGAAAAGCTTATTCATCTATTCATCAGTATTGCTCTTCCAATAGAAAAAGGCACCAAATAACCTCTCATTATCAGTGACTCCTGTGTGTGTTATCAATTAATTACACAATTTGTCACTAGGCAGCAAAAGATGACGATCAAACCATTTCCTGTACAGTCTAATACTCTGCGAACTCTGAGCTTGCTGGTGTTTTGATCGATCCTGAATACTTTGTAGAGATTTCTCTCCAACGCACCCTCAGTGAGATTCTTTGAAACCGTGTCTTCCATGTGTCCAGCAAGGACAGATGAAATATTCGGCTGACATTTCAATGGCCAGTATGACAAATCGCCGCGCTCCACTGCGCGCCCTGCGAGAGCAGCGACCAAAAAACATCAAACATGTTAAATGATGAGCTCCTGAGACTAGATAGAAGTGTCGTGGCAACGATTACTCCGGGGACGATGACCCTTACAGAGCATGTGAGCAACAAAGCTTTCAGTGACATGAGCAGTGACATGATGTTTTAAAAATTTGTCAGGGTTGTTTAAATTGGGCGTTTTTAGCCTGGCTTTTTCCTCACTGGTTTTCACCCTGGCCAGAAAGACTGCGTGTTTACAGGCCTCTGAATTGGCATCAAAGCTTGCTTAGCGTGATCTGATCCTTTTAAAAAGTGGATGCTGGAATGGGTTTTGCTGCAAATGGGATATCAGTTAAGGAAAGAAGGGGTTGTTTTGTATTGGTAGTGAGGGCAGATTGTGAACGCTAGATCAAGGAAAAGTCGTATGAGTCAGCTCTTAATGTTAAAACACCACAGCGAGCTGACTGACCTGATCCACCCTGGCAGCCACGACTCAAATAAACGAAACAAATACATGCAGCTTTTTCCAGAGGCTGCCTTTTTTCTCCATTGAGTTCTTAATTGTCTGCCTGCTTTCAGTTGTTACAGGAAAGTTAATCTGCTTTTTTTCCCCTGGGTAACTCAACCTAGACAAACTACATCAAGCCTGGACATGTTTATGAATGCTGATACAGTTTTCAAGGATGTCAGTGTGTCTGTTTCATACAGTTTCAGGACGATTATCTCACTGTTTCCTTCTTGGCTGTGAAATTAGTAAAAGGCAAAAAAAAAAAGTAGGGCAAGATCTTTCAAATAAAGACGGGGCAAACGGTCAGTGAAACAAGTAAGAAAGTGAGTTACACAGCGATAGCTAATATACCCAAGTTTGGTAACACTGGCTACTATAAGATGCTAGTCAAACCCGTAGAGTGTATATTAGACTTTGTTGTAGACACAGTATTGTCACCCACTGGCTTTAATTTTTGCCGTTTTCAATTTCTAGCACCAGATCACAACAACAGTGGCTTCAAGGTGATTTTTTATTGTAAGGTCAAGACCCTACAATGCAAAGACAGCAGGAAAAAACCCCAACAATAATATGATGCGACAGCGGGAAGCAAAAACTCCCTTTTAACAGGAAGAAACCTTGACAGAACCAGACTCAGGGAGAGGCGGCCATCTACTGCGACCGGTTAGGGGTGAGGGGAGGAAGACAGGACAAAGACACACTGTGGAAGAGAGCCAGAGATTAATTATAACTGATGATTAAATGCAGAGTGGTGTAATTTTTGCAGCCTTAAATCTGCTTTTGTGTTGCAGATGTTACGGAGCCCTGCAGGGGACATGGGAGAAAAAAAAATTAAGACGGACTTTTGCGAGATCTCGCGAAAACTTTTGCGAGATCCCAAGTTAGTTTTGCGAGATCTCGCAAAAGTTTTGCGAGATCTCACAAAAGTCTGTCGTAATTTTTTTTTCTCCCAGGCTCCGTGTTTTTTTAGATCAGATGTAACTTTGAACAAGCGCCAATTGCTAAGTTAGCAGCTAATGCTGACTAGCTTAGAATTTGGCCATGTGCAGGTTAGAGAGTGCACTGCTGATAGCAACCACTGGTTACTAATGAGAAATGTGTTATCCCTGACCATTTGGTGAGCAGTTGCTGGAGATTGTTAGATGAAATTGGGAGCAAAGAGGTATACAGGGGTTATGAACGCTTTGGGCAACAAGCGTTGGGCGTTGACAGCAATTTACACTATATCTATAAACACTCGACAATTACTCACTGAGTGGTGGAGAAGCTGTAAAGCATAGCAGTAAAATATGTGCAAAACATATGGGCAAATGTTGAAGCCTGCTAGCAAACAAAGCAATCACAAGAAGGTTTTTGGTGTAGCACCACGAGGTGGCTGTAGCTCAGAAGGTAGAACAAGATAATTGAAAGGTTGGTGGTTCAATCTCTGGCAGCTCCAGTGTTAGCTAGAAAGCACTTAGGTGCAGAAAAAAGTCCTTTTACTAATGGATGAATAAAGCATGTTGTATAAAGTGCTTTGAGTGCTCCAGTACAGTAGAAAAGCCCTCTATAAGGACCAGTCCTTTTAGCATTTACCCTCTTTGCAAAACCACTTGCCAAGTGCTCAGGGAATACAGTTTTCCTAGACCTGCATGACTGAGGCCTTAGCAAAGTGCATACACAAAATGCCAGGCCTGTGGTGCTTTTTCAAATTCTTCTTCTGTGTTTCCGTGGTGACATGAACAAAAGTCTGTCACAGATACAAACTTTGGTGACTTTTAAATTACGTACGAGCACAATTGTGGATTGAGAAATGTGAAACAAACACAAATGGAGAATATAACGTCACATTTGCAGGGAGGTGGTGAATATGAAAATCAAAAGAATTGTGATTTATAATAAATCTTTTAAAAAAACATATAGATGCTAAAAATCGCTGTACGTGTGACGATGTTTGTGCAAGGTTTCATTCATATATAATCATAGGTAGGGTAGATACACAAATATATACATATGCTATGATCTTTACAGTAAGATGCCACAGATATGCTAATTATTGATAACATGTAAATACAATAACACTAGATTTTAATTCACTGAAAACACACAGAAAGCACAGATAATATTACTGTGCACAGTGCACAGTATTTGTCACACTACTGCATTAAAAAGGCACCGAAACAATAACAATATTACTTTTAAATTTAACTTTGCAACAAGAAGAACTTCTTTTGTCAAACGTTACCTGCGTCACCCAAGCCAGCACAATTACCCTCTGAAGAATGCAGATAAAGCTGCAACGTTTGTGTACATACAGGCTGCCCATGTGGCAGTTTGGCCTTGACTTGAAACTGTCAGGCCACAGAAAGAGAGAAATCACTAACTCATTCTTCTGTTCTTTTTCCTTCAGAGATTGATGCAGTACCTTGCCTCCAGGAATACACTCTTCAACCTCAACAACTTTCTAGATAAGGCTGCACTACAAGGTGATTTAATGCCATTTGGTTCTTTGTAGACTCAGCAGTGCTGTACATCTAACAAAATGACTTTATGTCGGACTCTCACTGCCTTGGTAGCGCTATCAATAAGCTGCTGCTCAGACGGACCAAATCTGAAAAACCTACCGATGACTGTACCCTTTGTTTGTTACAAAGGCTGCGGAAAATTAAAAAAAACATGCTTGGTGACTTTTTAATTATATATACAAAAGGAAAACAAGATAAATAAATAAAGTAAGGTAATGCATGAGCACTGGAAATGCAGGTTGGTCGCAAAGAAGCGACTATATTTTTAATTAAAATAAGTGTAGCTTCTTAATCTAATGTGAAAATTGGTCAAGCTGATCAATCTCTAACTGCAGCACCCTCTCTCTGCCCTACAGGGTATAACATGTCAACCTTCATCAGACGCTACAGCCGCTACCTGAATGAAAAAGCCATGTCTTACAGACTAGCAGCGGTGGACTTCACAAAAATGAAGAGAGGGTAGGATACTCTTGCTTGTAACACTTTGCCTGTTTTTTATCCTCTGCTTTACCTGTATAGTAGAAACAGTAAATATATTTTCTATTTTTCCTTAAATGTACATTTATGTTAACAAGTAGTCATTGTAGCCCCAAGTGGCAAATGCATGTCTTGTAAAAACAGTGTGTTCAAAATGGTTTCTATTTTTGTGTCAAGTGGTCTTGTGCCTATGTTTGAGATGAGAGGGCAGGGCTACCTAGCAACATTTTTGTTTGCATATGGGCATCCAATCAGAAGAACATAGAACCTTAAAGAGGCAGAGCTAAAAGGGCACAGAGAGTAGATGAACTGAGCCTTTGAGTAATAAAAGCTTAGAGTCACTATTAGTGATATTCTAGAACAAAAATGTTGAGCAAGAAATTGAACAGCCTTTGATGCTAAAATGCTGTATTAGAGTCAGTATATCATAACTGCAATCTTAAAACATTGTAATTATAAGCTACTGGTCATAACAGACCAAACAAAGGAAAACAATTACAAGTATTGAACCAACAAAGGATGAGTGTGAGGTTGGTTTAGGACATGTGTGAGGACATTTTTACATTTTTCAGTGGGGAGGTCAGAGTGGGATTACATCAGGGTTAGATGAGGTCAGGCAGGACTTTCAGTGGATTGTAGTGTTTGCAGATGATAGTGTGACCTGTAGTGAGAGTAGGGAGGAGCTGGAAGAGAGCCGGGAGAGGTGGAGGTATGCTCCAGAGAGAAGAGGAAGAAGAGGAGGGAACAGTTGTAAAGCTGAAGCTGTAAGGAGTACAGATAGTTAAGGCAAATGAGTTTAAACATCTGGGGCCAACCATCCAAAGCAGTGGCTTGTGCACAAAAGAGGCAAAGAGGAGAGAGTGTAGGCAGGGTGGAGTGGATAGAGATGAGTGTCAGGGTGATTTGTGACAGAAGGATAGCAGGGTGAAAAGGAAGCTGTACAAGACTATAGTGAGACCTGCTATGATGTATGGTTTAGAGATGCCACTAACAAAAAGACCAGAGGCAGAGATGAAGATGCTCAGATTTTCACTGAGAGTGACCGAAATGGACCAGATCAGAAATGAATACATCAGCGAGACAGCTCAGGATGACCAGTTCGGAGATAAAGTTAGAGAAGCGAGGCAGAGACTGTTTGACACGTGCAAAGGAGGGCTAGTGGATATGTATGTTTGATGCTGAAAATGAAGCTGGCCAGGTAAGACAAAAAGAGGAAGACTACAGAGGAGGAAGTTACATACTCTTGATTTTCAGTGCACGTACATCACTTCCTCTACAGGCTTGATGAGTTCTGCGTGTGTTCTCCTGTGTGATTCTTAGGGCTGATGGTGTGATGCGCACCATGAACACAGAGAAGCTGATTAAGACTTTGCCCATCATTCAGAACCAGCTGGATGCACTGCTGGATTTCCAGGTAAACATCTGCCTTAATCGCTCCAAACCCTTTAATGTAAGCAATTGTAGCTGTCACTTCAATATCTCATCTCTTGTTTGTTCCTCCTATCGTCCAGCCAAACTCCAACGAGCTGACGAACGGAGTGATCAACACAGCCTTCATGTTGCTGTTTAAAGACTCCATACGGTTGTTTGCCGCTTATAACGAAGGCGTCATCAACATGTTGGGTACGCACGACACTGCAGATCCAGCGTTTGTCTATCTTTAGTTCGTTCTATATTTATGTGGTAATTTTCCTCTGATGTCAAGATCACAAGACTGTGACTCCATCCAACTCCACTTAATCCTTCTTTAGAGAAAATCAATTTTTCCTCCCACTGTCTTCCAGAGTTCAATTAAGGACCACTGTGTAATGATCAACTTCTTTTCTTCCATTAATTATTAAGGCAGTGAGGTGTGAGGGTCTGATAAGAGACCATCAGACTCTATGATTTTATTGTAAGTGGGAGTCTTAATGAAAATTAATTTCATCCTGCATGGACAAGAATTGGACAGGCTTAACAGGGAAAATCAGTACCAGATTGATTTTTAAAAGTTGTTTTTTACAGTATACACTGCTGCAGGTCAAAGTAAATTCTGTTTCTTTAGCTGTTTCTCGTCTTCTGGCACGCAGAGAAATACTTTGACATGAAGAAGAACCAGTGCAAAGAAGCTTTGGAGATCTACAAGACCTTCCTCAACAGGATGACCAAACTGTCCGAGTTTCTCAAAGTGGCGGAGGTAACGTCCGTTTGTCCTGCCGCTCTTCGATGGAGTTAAACACCTGTAAAGACGATGGGAATATCTATTTGGAGCGAATCTCAACGGCCTTCCTTCCTCTCTGATTTCATATAAATATATTAAATGCTCCTTTCTCATTTCGTCCTGTCACTCAGGAGAAATTTAATCTGCAGAAAAGTGCACTTGAACCTGTTGAGATTTGCTCCAGACTTCTGTTACCCCGGGAACTGATTTACGGTCAATCTTCTCAGACCTAAACTGACCGCAGATCAGCCTCCGGGAGCTTCTTCTCTTTAATCTTCCAAGTCTCTTTTTTGCACTAGATCTTCTCCTGTTTCTGTCCCTCTCTTGCCCTGGCCTAGGGAGGGGTTTACTTCAAGGCAGTCATTAACGCCAGAGTCTTATAGGCTATCAGAGAGACACTCATGTAGAGCTTCCAGTTGAGAGACCCCTCGTGTGCTGCCTGTTCACATGCCTGCACTGCATGCCCAAGCAAGCTCCTTTTCTATCACTATCTCTTTCTCTTGTTCTAATAGCTTAATTTCCACCCTATTTCTTTTTTGTTGTTGTTAATAAATAGAAGTTTCTTTTATTTTTAAATGGCTGTTACTCAGTTAACAGCTCTTGCTGGGCTTCACAATAAATATAAACAGTTTTATGATCTGTAGACTGCGCAGTATAATCGTGTACATCTTCAAAAGCTGCCTCGCTGCTTGGTTTCGTTCCCATTTGGAAGAAGGTTTGGGATGCAGCCACTTGATCCCAAAGAAAGAGAGAAAAAAAAGGAAAAAGAAAGAAAGACTAACGTTGACTTTAAGGACCCATTCATTTTACCTGTCTAACAAAATGTGTTTGTCTGTTTGTGTGTCATCTGTGCTCCCCTCCCCTTCTTCTTTCTGTTCAAAGTCAACATTAGTTGAGTGTCTTCCTTTTGGATGTTTCTTATCTTGCAGTCACATGACCTGTTGTCTGCCCTCTGTGCCCTGCCTGTCCAATCAGTCGTTGTGCTCAGCTTTCATTTCCAACCAGATCTCATCGTGTGTGTATTTATAAGTGTGTGTGTACATGTACTGTGTGCGTGTGTGTGTATATATATATATACATATATATAGGTGTTTGTATGCGTGTGCATGCGCCCTCCTCCTCTGTTGTCTTTTCTTTGTTTTCCTTTACAGCCACTGCATGAAGTAATGAATGCTTGGGTTTGATTCTTCTTTCTCCCTCCTCCTCCTCTTCCTCTTCTTCCTTCAACACGCCTCTTCCCTTTATTTTTTATTACTATGTGGTCTGTTGGGTTTTTTCTCTTTCTTTTTTTGGTTATTCCCTGATTTATTGTTACATTTGGTTTTATTTTTATTTTGCCTCCCTCCTCCCTCCCCCTATCCCTCCTTCCTTTTTTTGTGACACAGCGAGTTGGGATAGATCAGGGCGACAGCCCCGATCTCACACAGGTCAGTCTACATCTCATCACAATCAGTCAATCAACCAGTCAGTCAACCAGTGTATTAAATCCGTCAAAGTCAGTCCCATAATGCTTCATTCTAAACGCTCCCGTTCCCTACTCACCCTACAGACCTGCCCACACTGCAGCTGCCCCGTCCTCCTCCTCTCTTCTTCACTCTCCTTAACTCCTTCACTTTGTCTCCTTTTCTGTCTGAATCGAGAATAGAGAGGACACATGCAACTAGCCTGAAAGCAGCATTTTTCCCCCCTTGACAATTTTTAGTCATGTTTTCCTATCTGAATCCTTGCAGAACAAATTTTACTCTAAGGTAAGATTTTTTTAAACCAGTTTTTATGCAGCACAGCCACAAAAGTTTTCAGTCTCTCTCTCTCTCTTTTTTCAGATTAATTTTAGATGTCCGTGACTGGGGCATATAATATGTCAGAATTTTTTCTGGCAGTCTTTCAGGCATTTTCCCAGTGTAAATATCAAAGCTTGTCTGTTGACTCAAAGGCTTATCATACAAAAAAAAGTCAGCACAACTTTATGAAATAGGCTTTTGTCCATCTAAGCAGTGTTCACATCACTTTCTGAACAGATTATGTCCCTTTGTATTAGCTGTGGGGAGAGCAGCGAATGGTTTTTGTTAAATAGGTTTCTGCAAATATGACTTGGATAGGTGTACATAATGCCATCATAAGTACTGCATACTATGCTATGGTCCTTGAATACAGCTTATCCTTTTCATTGGATTTTAACAATGTGACAAAAAAAAAAACTTAAATGGAAAAAAGTTGTTTTTTCTTTTTCTTTTCTACATTTATGTCGTGTTTGTAGTGCTTATGAAGACCTTATATGCCCTTATTCAACAACATAGTGAACCATGCCTTTACTAAGCTCTAGATATGTGTCTGTTTTAATTTTAAACTTTTAGCATATTCTAGATTTCTCTGAAGAAGGATGCCCAGAATTCGCATTTTACTCTCTTTCCCCCTTAAAATAAGTATATGAGAAATCTTTTCTTTGCCTGTTGTGTTTGCCTTGTGTTCTCTGGTGCTGAAATGTAAAGCTCTGGGTGAAAACTGTGGTATCACATGTGGTCCAAATGAAACCATCCATCCTTTTTGTTTTCCAGTAATGAGTGCAGGCCAGCTGTTCGATGTGTATACCTGGTTTTTTCACCAGATGTTTACATTTGACTGAGTTAACTTCCTTGGCTTCCAGCGGGACACAGTTTTGGTGCTTAGCTCCAGTGATTACTTCCTCAGCCAATCAAACCACTAACACATGAATCTTACTGTGGAATCCACAAGTTAACTCTTAAATTTTGGATAGTGATTTTCTTTCTGTGTATGCGTGTGTAAGTGTGTGTGTTTACGAGAGCATTTGTGCACTGCTGGCCTCTGCATGGGCTCGTTAGATGGTTCACAGACGTGTTTGTTGTGTTTCGACTCTGGAGCCCCGCAGCGATGATGCTCTGCTCTGTCCCGACCTGTCAGTCCTGCTGTGGACTCGCTTGCATGATCCAAAGCTAACATGTGCATGCTGGCCAACCAAACCTGATGAAACCAAATGAAAAAAAAAAAACAGAACAAAGAGCTGTCGTAGAGTAGATAGTGAATTTGAGGGTGATGTCTAAATTTTGCTGCTGCTTTGTGTGTGTGAGAGAGAGATGAAATGAGAAGTGAGGAGAGGAGGGAAAAGCGAGCTAAGTGCCCCAATTTGCCTACTTGCCCATGGTTGTAATCTGCTGAACCCCACCCCCCTCAGGCTCCCAGCTCTCTCCTGGAGGCTCTGGAGCAGCATCTAGCTTCTCTGGAAGGCAGGAAGCTCAAGGACCTCTCCACCGCCAGCAGGTATGATCGGATCACAGACAGGCACCTCAGGCCTGCTGCATCACTCACTTAATGCTACTTTTAAAACTATTATTTCTGCTACAGCTGTTCTTTCCCTTACTGCTACCAGTATTAGCACTACAGCAACCATGGTGTACTGCTGATCTGCCACCATGAATTTTACTACTGCCAGATTTTTACAGTTTCTCTTATAGCCAACATAAAACTTGCATTTTACCTACATGCATCATATGCTGTTGCCTAAATGATACTTACAATCAAATTTTACTCAAAGTTCGTTTCTGATCACTACTTTGAAACATTTCAACCGTGGGTCATGCTGATGGTTCCCAGGTAACTAAGTGGGTTTTTTTTTTTAGCTTTACATGGTGTTGTTAAAAAGTATCAAAGAGTAAAGTAAAAAATATCCCCCAAAAAAGAAAAAGAAATTTAAAGAGACGCGTAAACCCTGTGTGTGTTTGCGGGTGTGTGTCTTACCTTAAGATCCAGCACCTTGTCCAGTGCAGTGTCATCTCTCTCCAGCACGGGGATCTCTCTCAGCCGTATGGAAGACAAGACGGAGGACAACCGACTGCAGCAACACAAGGTGAGTCAAACCTGTCCACATACTGTGGACAGATTTGCACAGTTCATACATACCACATGCCAGAACTATTGCAGGGATTCAACCACAATATGATTGCCTGTGCTTTTTGGTTTTCCAAAGATTAACTGTTCTTTTGTCTTCTATGCTAGTGAAACACTCTGAAATCCGTTCACGTGTGTGAACCATGTAGACCTCGGTGTCTTAAGACTTTCTGCCCTCCACACTGTTGTTAAAGTTGAATAGACAAGTGCATTAATTCTGCAGTACAGTGAAATACGCTGTCTCTCTGTAGTATACAGAGCTGCACACAGAATAGAAATGAGCTCTCAGTCTACATACTGCACTCCTGCAGTGGAGTTTATTCTCAAACAAACCATCCTGGCCTTTCATTCGATATTAACAATTTAAAGGAAGATTAACCCTTGAAATACACACTCACTGGATGCTTTGTTATTTATCTAATAAAATGCTCATTAATGAAACTATTAAACTGGGCAATAATATGACAGCAACTCATTTACATGAGTTAAAGAATGTAGACATGGTCAAGATAACCTGCTGAAGTTCAAACCAAGCATCAGAATGGGGAAGAAAGGTGAGGAGACTTTGCATGTAGCATGGTTGTTAGTGCCAGACGGGCTGCAATCTACTGGGATTTTCCCACACAACCATCTCTAGGGTTACAGAGAAAATATCCAGGAAGATGCAGTTCTCTGGGAGAAAATGCCTCGTTGATGTCAGAAGAGAATGACCAGACTGCTTCAAGCTGATAGGAAGACAACAGTCCTTTTAAAAAAAAACACTCGTTACAACCATGGTATGCAGAAGAGCATAACACATCCAGCTTTGAGGACAACCTTAATTGCTTTTGGACAAAAGAAGGTTTGATCTGATCTGGTCTCATAAAACCATGGAGCCATCCTGCCTATATGGATGGTTCAGGTTGGTGGTGGTGTAAGGATGTGGGGGATGTTTTCTTGGCAAACCCCTTGATACCACTGGGTATTGTTTAAACACCACAGCCTGCCTGAGTGTTTATGACTGCAGTGTACCCATCTTTTGATGGTTGTTCCCACCAGCAACTCTAACTGGCTTCTTGAACATGACAATGAGTTCACTGTACTTAAATGGCCTCCGTAGTCACCAGATCTCAATCCAATAGAGCACCTTTGGGATGTGGTGGAACAAGTAATATCACTAGATGTGCAGCTGACAAATCTGCTACCATGTCAACATAGATAAAATCCTTTGAGGAAAATCGCCAGCACCTTGTTGAATCGCTGCTAATAAGGATTAAGGAAGCTCCGAAGGCAAAAAAAAAAAAAGAGTCTGACATAGTACTAGCAAAGTGAACCTTGTGTGTATTATACTAACCATAATCATCTACATTGTGTTGATGTATTCTGTCTAGGAGGACGGTCACAAAGTGATCGACATTCAGACACCTAACGTGTCACCCAGCACCCAATCAGTGGGCAGTGCCAACAGCAGCGGAGGGGCCACAGATCTCTTCTCTAACTCACCTATTGTACCCGTCAACAACCAGTGAGTGTATTGTCTGCGCTTATATAT